ACACAAGATTTGTGTGAGTCTTTGCTTTTGTGGGCAATTAATTGCTCTGCTAGCATTAGCGCTGGAGGGGAGGGGATTCGCCGTCGTTCTTCGGGCTCACCTACGCTCGCAACATAAAATATCCCAAAAATCTGCAGTACAGCCTTGAGTTTGTGCAAAAAGTCCTGATGGAGCTTGGTGGGAAAAAGATGTCCCCAAAAATCCACAGGCTGAATACCCAGCTTTACAGCCTAGAGTTAGCATACAGTAGTTGAGTTTTAAAGGCATTTCTACAACCAAAACGTACCTTTTTATCTGAGGTTGTTGTTTGCTCACTGTTTAAATGTTAAGTGAGAAAAAAAAAATGCCTAAATGCTGTTTGAATGGTTGAGATGTTGAAAAAAATCTTACTTCAGCAATAAATGTTGTATTGAAAAGCAACGGCTTCTGAGTGTAAATAAAAAAATCAGGTCTATAAATATTACATTATGATGACTTTAAATTTTTATTTGAGACAACTTAAAAAAAATTTGTTTGCTCCCATATTCAAAAGTTGTTTAAATGAATTGAAAATATTCAGGTTGAACCAAGTATATTATTTACATTCAGTAATAAAAACCAAAGTATTTATTTTGATTTAGTAAAATGTGAAATAATTGCTTTGGTTCAACCTTCAGAAATTACTTTACATGAAGTTAAATATTTCAGGTCAAATAAGATGGATTATTTATATTGCATGAAACTACAATATTAGTTGTGATCGATTACCTTAATTTTTTTTTAATTGAGCCAATGTTTCATTTTTTTCAGTGCAGAGAGGAAGACTGCCGACTCCCCGCATCTACAGCCTGTTTAGGCCGATGAAGCAAAAGGGCAGTTCTCCTCTTAGCCCCACCAACCACAGCAACAAGCCAGAACCCCAGGAGGGTCCTAACATGTCTGGCCCAGAGTGATAGCCTGTGGCTTGGAGAGCGGCGATCTGGACCCCAAAGAGGCCTGGAGGTCATGGTAGCTCTGGGACCCTGAGCAAAACCCTAAAATCCATGATGCTCCCCAGCGGCCAAAAGCTGCTTCTTCTCTGCCTGTCCGACTCCGAGGCTTTAGTTCACACTGAGGCAACTGGGAGAACACATTCCTCTAACGGTGCATAAACATAATCACCACTTTCAGCTACCGTGGCTCCTCTGACATCCTGGCATGGAGGGGGACCAGCTCCACTCCTGTTGCTTCAACATGCAGTGAGGAGGTGTTCTGGAGCTCCCACATGACCGGGGGAGGATCTGAGGAGGAAACTGGCAGGAGGAGACGCTCTGGAGCCAAGAGGACAGCAGGAGGCTTAATGGGCCAGAGGTGAAGGGTCACTGTAAGGGGACTACATCTCCACTGCAGCTTCTCCAGTCCAGCTGCAGGAAAACAGAAAGAAAATTCACAAAATACAGATTTAAAGGCTGAAAAGGATCTGATTGTTGCAAAACTCGGTTACTCATATCCAGTGATGAAAAAAAACAAAGTACATTTACTTCATTACTCTACTTAAGTACATCTTTCGAGTATCTATACCAGTGTTTTTTAATCCTGGTCCTGAAGGCTTCCTGCCCTGCATGTTCTAGATGTTTCCCAGCTTTCACACACCTGTTATCAATTGATAGCAGATTATCAGGTTTGCTGAAGCTCAGAAACATCCAAAACATGCAGAGCAGGACGCCTTCAGGACCAGGAGGGAAAAACACTGATCTATGCTTTTTTTTGTGGGAGTACTTATATCTTTCCTTCCATTTCCAGGAAGCTTTTAGTTCCTTCTTCCTTTTAGCTCAGCGTAGCTTTTTAATCCTCTGTTGCTGTTTTTCATCCATCATGGCGGATAGCCGCCCTATGGACTGAATCTGGACGCCACTGATCTACAGATCTAATGACGCTCCACAGATGAGAGAAACTCAGAGCAGATATTATTATTTTATCATGCTGGTGAAGTTTCTCAGTCATCCAGGTCAGAGTCATTCCAAAAAAAGTTAAAAACAATCCACTGGACGTTTGAAGACGTTTCTCTTCCATCCAGGAAGATTTTTTAATTCAAAATGTCAGAAATAGCGTTTAGTTCCAGGCTTTATCCAGCAGCCCAACAAAGCCTGGTTTTAGTTGATCTTTTTCTCTCCATCAGAGGTGAGAAAGCTGACGTATAAATTTCATTTCCACAAGCTTGTTAAGACAAAGAAACAACAGCACCAAGCGCTTCCTAAAGCAGCACTCCTCACTTTCTCTCGGAAAATCCGAGTCAACTAACATTGCCAGAAGTATTGCCTTTAACAACGAGAATGTAAGGCGTTTTTTTTTTTTTTTTGTTGACAATCTGGAGAAAGTATTAAGCAGATATTCCTTTGGAGCAGGAGATATTGGCAGAAAGCAGACCAGGTGGGGTCACTGACATCTGGGGAAACGGGTGCCCTGGTCACCGTTGGCCGCTCACTCAGCCACGGGCAACAGCAACCTTCATTCCATCAACAACGTCCCACCAAGCTAAGGAGCTGTTGTAGAGCATGCCCCCCCCACTCTGCTCCCACAGGCTGCAGCCTTTAGACAGAAGTATTTCCAGCTCCTTTGAAAGGTATTTAAATTCTGTCTCTGATTCCTGGATAAGGAACAACCCAAGAAAAACATTCAGTATTTCTGACATCCCCTGGAATTTAGCAGCTACTTATCCCCTCGCTGCAACCTAACCCTAATATTCAGGGAGGTTTCCAGGTAACAGGGATTCAGCCGTACAATCGGGATGTTTTCTTGGAGAAGGTATCCGATGGCCTCTGCCAAACCCAAACACCAACCCACCCATTCCTGGACTCAGCACGGGCCCAGCTGCTCCAGGCACCAACCAAGGAGCTAACCCAGCCTCCCCCACAAACTCCAGATGATATTAGGCCTTATCAAAAAGCTGGTCAAAGAAAAAAGTTACCCAGCAGAAAAAGGAGAGAAAAACTTCCATTCTCACTGACACACCTGAGAAGGAGGCTGAAAGGCAGGAAAACCAAACCTAAAATGTCGAAGAAGTAAAGCTGAAGAAGCAAACAGAGGGCAAAAAGAAAGACTCCAGATAATGTCTGGTCTGCATGGAGCCGCCCAGCAGAAACATGGGTGCAACGCACCTCTGGCAATTCAGTCTACATGTGCCCAAACTGTGACTCAGGTGAGGAGTGTGGCGAGTCAGCTCTGGATTTTAGGTTTTCTTTTGTCCCAGAACCAGTTTTATAATAACTTCATTTCCTGTTATTTCAAATGATTCCATCTGCAAAAGCTCTGCCTGTGACTCAGATCAGGTTTCTTTTGTTCAGGGACCAGTTTAAGTGTCAGTTTCATAATGCATGAAGCACATCATTTTACGTTATTTCATAAGTAGTAAAAGTGGTTTATTGTCATTTATTCACTTAGCATAAAAAAATAACAACAGTCATTAATTTAGACCTTTATTGGTTGCAAACCTCAGGTTGATATCTTACGCTTTAGAGAGGCAACGTGTCACAAGGCAGAAATCTTCATTAGATCGCTTATAACTCTGCACAGAAATAAAATATGGAAATGACCCAAATACAAAATATAGACTTTGATCTTTCATCTGGTATATATGTTTTTTTATATTTTGATTCCAATATTTATATATGAGTGTAAAAAGTGTGAAAGCTAGCCCCGGTCTTGCCTACTGCTGGTGAGTATTTCCTCCACCACTGCTGATATTCTTGCAGCACCACCTGTGAGTCAGATGTGATTTTGCAGTCTCTGTTCTGACTCATTAAATATTGATGATTGATCAATCCCCCTGCTATCAGTGCCAGATACTGACCCTTATTCTCATTCCTTCAGGTGCAGGGGGAACGCTAAAGGCATGCTAACTTTAGATATATGAAAGTTTTTCCTCTCCACTGTCGCTACAAGCATGCTTAGTGTGAGGGATTGCTGAAGAGTCAATGAGTCGATGCAATCAGCTGGTTTTCCTTAGATAGAAAACTTTGAATCAATCTGACTGGATGATCTGGTTGATCTAGATCTATAAAGTGACCTGAGATGACATGATGTGAATTGGAGCTATAGAAATAAACTGAATAGATTTGAATCTAAACTTAATTGATTTTCATTCTTCCAATATGCTTTCAGATTAGAACTCTAATATTTTAAAACATAAATATACATGTTTTCTAATCATATGATGAAATTAAGACATAATTGTATAAACATTATCCTTAAACTCTCTATATTTATGACATAAATAAAAAAACCAAAGGCGGGTATAAAGATTTATTTTATTGACAGAAGTTGTTATATTTTTAAACACAGTTTACATCATACTATTAAGGATATTTTGTTGTACAGAAATAAAGAAACTTCAGTTTACTTTCTTTATTCAACCTCAAACAAAGAGACAGAGAAGGAAACAGAAGTGTGTTAACAGTCGTTTCTCTGTGATCTACGATGGTCACCATTTTCAGGAAAAAGGAAATGAGCTCGTTGGCGTCAGAGACGGGGCCATGCGGGTGAACCTAGCGGCCGTTCTTCCATGCTCATGACTCCAGAACGCTGCTCACTTTCTACGCATAGCAGATGATTTGCAGTCAGGCGATCACTGATGCCCAACCGTTCATTAACAAATCACAACAAACATGGATCCAACGTCACACAGCAGCCAAACAAAAAGCACATTAGAGAAAATCAAAGCAATGAAAACCTCGATTAGGACGACCAGGGAGGAAAACTCCTGATTGCCTCCATTATGCTCCTTCAGTCCATTACTTCCAAAGATTCACAACATGTCAATCACTGCTGTTCACTTCGAGAGCCTCCATTAAAGCTCTTTATCACTATAAACACACTATATAGACACTATATAGACACTATATAGACATGGACACTAAATACATCCAGATGGTGAAATATACAATAGAAACAGGAACCAGAAAACGCAGAAAACTGCTCATTAGGAAAACTTCATCAGCAAAAGTTCAGGAGTGGACGAACGATGGCTGAACATCAGGAGAAAGCTTCTGGTCACCATCTGAAAAACGGAAGGCAGCCGCTGGCTTTACTCAGCGTCTTTAAGTGGCTCCGCCTGTAACTGGAGTTTAACACTTCGTGTTATTTTGGTGCTTGCAGAAATGAGGCTGAAGGTGGAACCCCGCCGGTGGTTCAACTGCGTGAAGAGCTCCCTAACTTTCTTCTGGAATTTTTTCCCAACAATGACGTAGAGAATCGGATTAAGAACGCTGTTGAAGATGCCTAGGTACATGAAGATCTGCCCACAGTAGAACATGATGATTCTAGAGTTGCAGTCCTGCAGGTAACCAAAATCGTTGAGCAGGGATGGTATCTTGATCAGATAAAATGGAACCCAGCAGATCAGGAATGCCAGCAAGACGGCCAGGACCAAAGTGGTGGCCTTCCTATCCTTCCTCTTTGCTTTTTCCTCTTCCATAAATCTGCTTCCTAGAGTTTGGAGAATCTTGATGGTGCAGAACAGGATGATTGAAATGGGAATAAAAAACCCAAACACCAAAAACATGATGTCGCTTATGAGAGATAGGAGATCATGTTCTTCATAACAACTGAACCCTTCCACAGTCCGGTTGATGAGCTTCGGAAGACTGAGAAGGAAACCCAGAATCCAAACCAGGACGCAAGAAATTTTAGCACATTTTGGCCGACGCAGTTTTTGATGAGACAGCGGGTGGACCAGAGCCAGGTACCGATCGCTGCTGACCAGAATCAGGAAGTAGATGCTGCAGTAGACGTTCATCGGAATCGCCACATTGACGATTTTGCACATAGCGAGACCAAACTTCCACTCGAACCGATTCCAACCACTAACAGCCCAGAAAGGCAAGAAGGAGGTCAGAAGCAAGTCAGCAGCAGCCAGGTTTCCCATGTAGATCTCAGCCACGGAGCAGGACTTCTTATGGAGGATGAAAACCATCAGAACAAAGATGTTCAACGCCATTCCCAGCACGGAGATGGACAGGATGTACACCGGGACAAAGCTGTAGACCCACTCATGAGATACGGATGAACAGCTACTGTTGAATGTTTGGTCTCCATTTTCTGCCAGTGAGGTCAGATTAGCAGGGAGGCTGCAGAAAAGCAGAGGGAGAAAAGAGAGAACATCAAGCTGAATACTAATGACTTACAGGAAGTTCAAGGTCATTATGGAACCGGAGGACATTTTATGTACAAACATCGACATTTCCAACTAATTATGGAAACATTCACCCCGTCTTTAAGTTCAGATGTCCCGACAAATATGAAAAGTGATTCACTGATGATATTTTGAATAAAAAGCAGCTCTTCAGCCCCTAATAAAATGCCTTTTTGTTCTTGTCCCTCCGTCATGATGACAACATTCAAAACTGACAGAGGAAATTATTATTTTGATGTATTAGTCTAGTAATTATTTAGAGATTTTGTTTCATCACAGACACATTCTATATAGTATAGAACAGAAAATCCCTTTATTGTCCTAAAACAAGGAAATGGTGGCATTACAGCAGCAAAACTGCTCACACAAATGTCAACCTTAAACTGTGCCTAAAAATAACAGAATAAGTGACAGAGTTTAAGCAATAAACATATGAAACACTGTCTACAATGTTTTTAATAATATAAATACTGTGCAGTCATCTGAAGAACAAATAATTATACGCGGTGTTAAATTCTAAAGTTGCACCCCTTTAATGAACATCCAACTATGTCACCTTTAAACCCTTTAAACCCGTCTGGAAGAAAAAACTGTGATCTTCAAGAAAAGACGTCTTTAAAATGATTGTTGTAATGATGGCTAACTGTTAGCATATTGTAGCGTGTCACTCAGAGCAACCAGCTCCATTACTGTTAGCTAAGCAGCTAACACAGCTGTTAGAAACACGTAAATGTCCTCATTTTATTTGTGCTAAGTTACCGGCATTTGGCCTGCAGAATCAGATTCAGAAATACTTTAATAATCCCAGAGGGGAATTACTTTTGTTACACGCTCCAGTTACAGTTTTATATAATATATACACACATCCAACTATACAATATAATAAAGATAAAAAAATAAGAATAAAAATAAAAAATAAAAAGAGATAAAATATATACACATATAGCTCTTCTGTATATATATCTGTACATATATCTATGCATATGTAAAAACTAAATCCAAATAAAGTGAAAATCCAAGTAAAGTGATAAATCCAAGTAAAGTGATAAATCCAAGTAAAGTGAAAATCCAAGTAAAGTGATAAATCCAAGTAAAGTGAAAATCCAAGTAAAGTGAAAATCCAAGTAAAGTGAAAATCCAAGTAAAGTGATAAATCCAAGTAAAGTGATATGTGGCGTGCAAAAATAGTGCATAAATGTCAATTATGCACTATTGCAGGAATGTTGAGTGTTATTTTAACTAATATGTCTCTGGGGGCCTTTGCTGCTGCAGGTGACTGATAACTTCTGAGCCTTCCTGTTACGAAAATTTAGCAAAAATGTCTTAATTTAAATGCATTTACCCTTAATTTGAGCAGGTTATTAGCATAATTTGCCGATGGAAGAGTATTTTTACTCCTAAAATTAGTCAATTTGGGCGACCCGGGTTTGAATCAACCTGTGGTCATTTTGCCAAATGTCTCACCCCCACATACCTGTCAGCCTACTGCAGGGCTCGATGTTAACCGGGGCAAGTAGTTTTGATTGTCTTGAGAGTACAAATTTCATTGCATTTGCCCGCCGGGCAAGTGCAATGATCGCAAAATAAAATTATTTATCACCCAAAATTACTTTAAAATCACCGACATTCGCTGAAAGCGACCCACAAGCGTTGCCGGCGCCATTTTTTTTGTTTTGTACACATTCTCGCATGATTTGAAAAAGCCGCGTGATTTTCCGCTAGATGGCGTGATTTTTGTCCGGGAACTATTTTTTAACAGATTCATTGACTTGTTCATAGATGATATTAGTTATTATTGCCATTAATAAGGTTATTAATTTTTATTGTTGATGTTTAAAGGACCAGATATGGACAAAGTCAGCGCCACAGAAGCAATGGAGAACTGGTGGAAAGATGGTGATAGAGCCAAACGCCCAGGATTTTGGGGAGAGAATTCTGCAGAGCAGCAGCTGGATGATGAATTTAATCTATACTATAATAGATTAAAAATGATCAGTCAGGGATTAGGAAAATAATAATTGTACGCGCACAGTGTACAGTAAATATTTCTATCATATGGCAGTTTTCTGTACAGTGATGCAGGTCATACATTAAAAAATGTTCATAACATTTTTTTCTCATAGACATTGGAGAGGTGCATTTAAATGTTATAGAGCTAAACATGTTAGATTGGTGAGCAGTAGTAGTGGAAGTTTTTAACCTGTCATGTTTTTTTTTTAGATTTTTAACATTACAATTTATATTTTTCCAAGCACACAACAGTTTAAAGCAAAGTTTAGTTTGAACAGAATGAGCAGGAAGGATTGAAAAGCATGTTAACACGGTAATGTAGGCTGGAGTTCATTATCTGCATGCATGCAGATACACACCAGGAACCTGGAAACTTACTGAATTACAAAAAAAACATTTAAAAAACAAACATGTTTCATTGATATATATACAAAAATGATTAGGATCAATATTTATCAAACATTATACTGGGCAAGAAAAAATTGTTTCTGGGCAAACTAAATGTGAAAGTCACTTGCCCTTCAGCCAAGTGGTAAAAATCCTTAACGTCAACCCCTGTACTGTCAGATAAATGAGCTGCTAGTGCCGTAAAAACAAAAGATTATTAGATAACATGACTATATAAGAGTTTTTTCTTACTTTAAATGTAAATTGTCTTGTTCCAGTGTCTCACTTACCTCCTTAATTCAAGAAAAGCACTTATTTTAGGAAAACAAAGACTTAAAATGATTTCAATTTTTTTGCAGTGTAGCAGCTGGTTTTAGAACAAAAAATTAAACATTAGTGTTAATTTACAAACCTGTTACTGTAATGAATGTAACAGGGCTGCTTAAGAAAGGACAGTTTATAAAATATAAAATGTTTCTTTTAAATGTTAAATGTTTAATAAATGCGGATGTTCAGTTTATTACGACTCTTTGGCCAAATGTCGGAGTGTGTTATTTTAGCCATGAAGAATTCAGTTTCAATTTCAATTCAGTTTATTTATATAGCGCCAAATTCACAACACATGTCATCTCAAGGCACTTTACAGTTCAACCAGATCATACAGTCAAATTAGAAAGATCAAGAAGAAAGATCAAATAAATTTACGCTGTAAATTACTGTGATGAGGAGTTTTCCTTTGTTACGTCATAATTTATAACACGTCCCTTCAAACCTGTTTCTTTTTGCAACCCTGTTGCTAAAGTTGAAATTCTGCTATCTTATCAATAATTATTCTAATAACCTTTACTTCCTGATATTTAACAAGACTTTAAACTGTTTTCCTTCTGATTAAATCAGACTAACCATGCAGTTTTTTGGCAAATATTAAAAACTAATTGTAATTAGTAAAATAGAGCAAATGAAAATGAAAAGCTTAAGTGAAATATATTTAAAATATGTTTTTCAGGTGAATGAGAATATTTAACAAGGTTTCCTTCCAACAGGTATAAATATATTCTGTGCTTGTTGTGATGAACAGAGTGTTTCCAGCTCTGCCTGCTTCATCATATTCATCCTTGAACAGAGCTTCCATTGGCAGCGCGTCTGCAGGAATGTTTTTATGGCTCCGCTTCATGAACTTTGTTTCCTGCATTTCTTTATGTGTGAAGATGAAGTCAGCTTAACCTCAGCTGCATCTATAACGGCAGCTCTACAAACCCGTGATCTAAAAGAGAAATTTCTGCTTCACCATCAGGATCTTTGCAAGTTGAGACAAACGCAGTCTGCAGGGAAAGTGCTGACATGTTGTGACAAATGAAATGTGTATAATAATATTGTTAGTGTAACGTTTCTGCATGTCTCAGCACATGTGATCTTAACTGTCTCTCTTTGCAAACTCTCACTACCGTTAAAGTGCAGAAAGATGAAAGTAGCAGAAAGTGAAAAGCTTCTGCTCACCTGGTGGGTAAAGGATCCATTCTCCTGTCCTCTGCTTCTGTCCTCTGTGGGAGTGGGACTGGTGTCTGCTGAAGTGGCTGAGCTGGTATCAAACTGGTCTCAGACGTCTTTAAACACTGGATGACTCGATGGTTTCCACCCACTGTGTCCCACCCCCATTTTTCATTTCACTCTGTTCATCAGCAGAGAGCTGCTCTAAACCGTTTTCAGTCTGTTGTTTTTTTTTTCAAGTCCCAGCATGCATGATGTGGGATGATTGGAAATGAGTGTTTCCCTCTGATAAAACCCTCCCACCCCCAGCCACCCCCCCCTGGAGCAATAAGCAACACTATAAAAACCCTGATTTTAACCTTTCAGATCTCAGTAAGGGTTGATTAGGAAATCCCTTCTATTGACCAGATCTATGCAGAACAATGTTTGGAAGTCAAACGTGCGTCAGAGAGCAGGAACGCTTGGCAAAAACTAAAACTTCAGGTAAAAACTATTATAACGACATTAAACATAAAACAGTCATTGAAAAAAACTGAATAGGAAAAAAGTTTTAGAAAAAAATGGATAAAACATGAAAAACTTCCCTCTAAACACCTGCACCGTGTTTGGATGATCTGATTGATCTGGATCTATAGACACCTGGGATGACAGGATGTGAACTGGAGCATAGAAATAAAGCGAACAGAAGTGAGAGCTGCAGTTTGTTTGCATAGAGCTTCCCGAGAAACGCGGCTGGATCTGAATCGCTCTTCCGTTTATTACGGATCCACCTGTTCTAAGGTCCTCCTCAGCGTCTGCAGGACTAGCAGTCAACAGTCCACCTGCTCAGAGGCACATTTAGGAAACGCAACATGGAGCCAAAGGAGGGACAAACAGAGCTGGAGCTCTTCACGGGAAGACTTCAACAATCTCTCAAATGTTAATGGAATCAACTGAACTAAGAAAACTTTTAACATTTTTTCATTTTCTTTTCTAGGAAATAAAGAAAAGTTTTAGATGAAGAAAAATGTTCCACTAAATAAATAAAAACCGGAGCTTAAATTAGCTCAGAGGACTGATTGGAGCGTCGCTTTAAGGAGAGCTGAAGGTGCAGATTGTTGTTCTGGACAGAAAAACATCTAAGAACCAAAATCTAAGATGAGGAGAATAAGATCCAGCATAACTTCCTGTTCTTCATCAGTGCATCATCTTCCTCATCACCTGAGACCTTCCTGCTCACTTTTCCGCCCTCTTTCATCTTCAATGTTTTAGCATCAAAATTTGAATAAAACTCATTATTTTAACTGGAAGTCTGCAGCAAAATGAAGCTTTTATCACACTAACATGATAGTTGTATGAAAAACATATTTATAGATGAATATTTATCCCGTAATAATCTCAGATTTTATTCTTTAGCAACAAATGGAAACAAAAAGTTAGAGCAGAAAAGTTGTTTTTGTCATAATCTGATGTGTTTCTTTGCTCTATAACTGCAGACCAGCTTTTCTATACTTCATGTTAAAAATAAACTCTTTATCTCAGTTAAATACTTTGAAAATCTAAATTTACAGCCATTAGTGTTATTGGAATCCAGGACCAGAACTGATTACCTTTGTAATGGTAAAAATTAATGTCAACGTAAAAACTAGAAACACCAACTTGCCCGAATTAATTAAGAAAAATAACAAAAGTGCTTCTAGAAGAAATTAATGAAAAACACTCTCAGAGTGAAAGAAACAATTATTTAGGTCCAACATAACCTTAGAGGCATTAATGCGGATACTGGAAGTAACATTTTTTAGTTTATAAACCTAAATATTATTAAATAGGCTTATTAACTTTTTAACTTTTCTATTTTATTTCAACTTAATTTCCAGTAGGTAATACATCATGCAGAGGCTGATCTAATTGGTCAAATGCCAATCAGATGTGCAGCCATGTAGCAGGATCTCTGCTAAATGGCTGGATATAGATCTAGTGTCTCTAGACCTCACTGAGGGATGTGGGGGTGGCTCCGTTTGTAAGTGGTATGCAGGTGATTAAAAAGGCTAAGTTGCCCTATAAAGGGTTAAAAGGATGAATGTTGGTTGCGATTGAAGCGACTGTCTGATCTGCTCTGAATCTGGAGTCCAGATGCTGAGAATCCCAGCAGATCAACCCTGAAAGCAGCAGCATGGCGGGTATCTGATCGTCCTCTGGGCTCAACACAGCTGCTCTGTTTCTAACCTGAACAGGAAGGAGAGGATCAGACTGCAGCTCAGGACGATTTCAGGCTTTTAACCGAAGAATTGATCCTTTGGGTCGAACCTTCAGTCCCTTCAACCTCCTTCCTGCTCCGTTCCTCCACCATGTTAGCAGCCAAACATGGTGCTGATGTGGACTGGGCCTACCTGGAGCTAACAGCTTTACATCCATACCTGAACAAGCTGCATGTTGCATCATCTACCACTCATCTCTGGACCAGCTGCAGTCAGAACGGCTGCAGACGCCTCTTTTTGTTGTCAAATAAGCGTCTGAACATGCAGCTGGTTGGTCGGTCAGTAGAAGTGGAAATCCTGCTAGACGTCCTGAAAGCTGCTGGCCAATCAGAAGCTTAATGAGACAGAGGGCCATGAGCAGCAGCTTCTAACAGCAACGCTCGGCTGATTGCTGTAACCATCTTTAACGTGGGTGGAGTCGCATCCTAATGTCCTCCACACCATTTCCTCTCAAGCTGATGCTTTTCCAAAGTTTGGAAATGAAGTCTGGCTTTGACTCGTCGAATGGGGAAAGAGATTAATGTTTCCTATCACTATCATTATGAATGATTATGAAGCCTTCCAGAGTAGAAGGTTGATTTAGGAAGACGCTGCAGAAACTAAAGCAGGGACTTTATTTTCATCTAATCTGAACCATATGATCAGGCCACAAACACACAGCCGGATAAGACTTTAAATAATGCTGTAAATCTGGGTCTTCAACAGGGGGTTCCGTATTTCTGATTCCTGGTTATGGAACTGCAATGGTTGATGCGGATCAAGATGCAGCAAAAGGTCCCGCAGCGTGTTTAGAGCAGCAGGAGCAGCAGGAGCAGAAGGAGCAGCAGGAGCAGCAGGAGCAGAAGGAGCAGCAGGAGCAGCAGGAGCAGCAGGAGCAGCAGGAGCAGCAGGAGCAGAAGGAGCAGAAGGAGCAGCAGGAGCAGCAGGAGCAGAAGGAGCAGCAGGAGCAGCAGGAGCAGAAGGAGCAGCAGGAGCAGAAGGAGCAGCAGGAGCAGCAGGAGCAGAAGGAGCAGCAGGAGCAGCAGGAGCAGCAGGAGCAGAAGGAGCAGCAGGAGCAGCAGGAGCAGCAGGAGCAGCAGGAGCAGCAGGAGCAGAAGGAGCAGCAGGAGCAGCAGGAGCAGCAGGAGCAGCAGGAGCAGAAGGAGCAGCAGGAGCAGCAGGAGCAGCAGGAGCAGCAGGAGCAGAAGGAGCAGCAGGAGCAGCAGGAGCAGAAGGAGCAGCAGGAGCAGCAGGAGCAGCAGGAGCAGCAGGAGCAGAAGGAGCAGCAGGAGCAGCAGGAGCAGCAGGAGCAGCAGGAGCAGCAGGAGCAGCAGGAGCAGAAGGAGCAGCAGGAGCAGCAGGAGCAGCAGGAGCAGAAGGAGCAGCAGGAGCAGCAGGAGCAGCAGGAGCAGCAGGAGCAGAAGGAGCAGCAGGAGCAGCAGGAGCAGCAGGAGCAGCAGGAGCAGAAGGAGCAGCAGGAGCAGCAGGAGCAGAAGGAGCAGCAGGAGCAGCAGGAGCAGAAGGAGCAGCAGGAGCAGAAGGAGCAGCAGGAGCAGCAGGAGCAGCAGGAGCAGAAGGAGCAGCAGGAGCAGCAGGAGCAGCAGGAGCAGAAGGAGCAGCAGGAGCAGCAGGAGCAGCAGGAGCAGAAGGAGCAGCAGGAGCAGCAGGAGCAGCAGGAGCAGAAGGAGCAGAAGGAGCAGCAGGAGCAGAAGGAGCAGCAGGAGCAGAAGGAGCAGGAGCAGCAGGAGCAGAAGGAGCAGCAGGAGCAGCAGGAGCAGAAGGAGCAGCAGGAGCAGCAGGAGCAGAAGGAGCAGCAGGAGCAGCAGGAGCAGCAGGAGCAGCAGGAGCAGAAGGAGCAGCAGGAGCAGCAGGAGCAGCAGGAGCAGAAGGAGCAGCAGGAGCAGCAGGAGCAGAAGGAGCAGCAGGAGCAGCAGGAGCAGAAGGAGCAGCAGGAGCAGCAGGAGCAGCAGGAGCAGCAGGAGCAGCAGGAGCAGAAGGAGCAGCAGGAGCAGCAGGAGCAGCAGGAGCAGCAGGAGCAGAAGGAGCAGCAGGAGCAGCAGGAGCAGAAGGAGCAGCAGGAGCAGCAGGAGCAGCAGGAGCAGCAGGAGCAGAAGGAGCAGCAGGAGCAGCAGGAGCAGAAGGAGCAGCAGGAGCAGCAGGAGCAGCAGGAGCAGAAGGAGCAGCAGGAGCAGCAGGAGCAGCAGGAGCAGAAGGAGCAGCAGGAGCAGCAGGAGCAGCAGGAGCAGAAGGAGCAGCAGGAGCAGAAGGAGCAGCAGGAGCAGAAGGAGCAGGAGCAGCAGGAGCAGCAGGAGCAGAAGGAGCAGCAGGAGCAGCAGGAGCAGCAGGAGCAGAAGGAGCAGAAGGAGCAGGAGGAGCAGCAGGAGCAGCAGGAGCAGAAGGAGCAGCAGGAGCAGCAGGAGCAGAAGGAGCAGCAGGAGCAGCAGGAGCAGAAGGAGCAGGAGGAGCAGCAGGAGCAGCAGGAGCAGAAGGAGCAGCAGGAGCAGCAGGAGCAGAAGGAGCAGCAGGAGCAGCAGGAGCAGCAGGAGCAGAAGGAGCAGCAGGAGCAGCAGGAGCAGAAGGAGCAGCAGGAGCAGCAGGAGCAGAAGGAGCAGCAGGAGCAGCAGGAGCAGAAGGAGCAGCAGGAGCAGCAGGAGCAGAAGGAGCAGCAGGAGCAGAAGGAGCAGCAGGAGCAGCAGGAGCAGAAGGAGCAGCAGGAGCAGCAGGAGCAGAAGGAGCAGCAGGAGCAGCAGGAGCAGCAGGAGCAGCAGGAGCAGAAGGAGCAGCAGGAGCAGCAGGAGCAGCAGGAGCAGAAGGAGCAGCAGGAGCAGCAGGAGCAGAAGGAGCAGCAGGAGCAGAAGGAGCAGGAGCAGCAGGAGCAGAAGGAGCAGCAGGAGCAGCAGGAGCAGCAGGAGCAGAAGGAGCAGCAGGAGCAGCAGGAGCAGAAGGAGC